GGGTTTCCAGGTATTCAACATTATAAAAAAAAACTTTTAGGGGAAAGGTGCATTATCCTGCACACAGCTTGCAATTTTAAAACAGGGGGGTTTAACCTTTTAGATTCCACAGAACCAGTCAAATATGATCATCCTCATATGATGGACCCCCATCCTAAAATTCATACGGCAGCTATAATTTTCATGCATAAAGATCCAATTTATACTGTGAAAAATTACAATTATAAGTAAAATATTATTTGGAAAATATGTTCATTAAATCTATGACGTTTTCCCCAACACACTAATTAATTTAATTAAATATGTCTACATTAAATTATTTTTTTTAATTTAGATTTTATTTATTCCACTGTTTTTACAAACACCCATAACATTCTTTTATGCTTTTAACCATAGACAACACACAAATAGCTTTACGCCACCTGGTGGAAATTATGGGTACCAAAAACAATAAATATGATTAAAAAGAAATGATTAATGAGCTACCATGATTAATTACATATTTTTACATATTTAAAAGCATAATATTTTAAAGTTTAGGCATATTGTTTAGAATTATACATTTAAAAAAGCCGACCTCCAAAATGTGGAAAATAATAAACTATTATTTATATTATATTCTAAGTCGAAAAATGTAAATATTTTCTAATCAGAATCAGTAAACAATGTTTTTTTTTTATGTCAAAGAAAAAAAGAATAAATATTTAGCAGTATTGGGTGTCCCGGAAGTAGTCTCCGGACGCGTACTCGGCTGTCATTGGTTGAGCAGTGAGCACAGATCAGGCTGAGGCTCGTTCAATGTTACGGTCTTTGCTTTTATGTGAGTGCGCAACTTTTAAATTAAACGGCCTTTTTTCAGCCTTTTAACCACATAGCTCCTGTATAACAATTTGAATGGTGTCTTGAGAGATGGAGAGTGGGATTAAATATGTTGTAAATTGAATCAGTAGATTGTCGATGCACATATTGCCCATGTGTTACGGTTTTGCCATTCTTATACTGCATTATCGTAAAACATCGCATTAACTATTCGTTTCGACAACTTTTAATGTCTAGCATGCAAGCTTCCTAATGTGCAACTAAATATTACAACACTAAAAAACACTAAACATGTATAATTCAGGCAATCGTGAGTAGTGTGTACACAACCATACTTTAGTCAGCATTATGCTAATCAAAAAACTGTCAATCGTAATCATCATCAACCATAGACATAATAATGTCTATGTTATCAACAACAACCGCTTAACTTACTTCAGCTCAGTAATTTAGCCCATGTGTGGGCATCTGTTAAACGTTGATTAGGCCTACAAGGCCTTGTCACCGCTACTGTTGTCTGTCTATGCAATGTTTAGTTTAATCTAAATTTAACTTACCTGAAATTTATGTAAGAATGCCTCCGGCCATAACACAAGGTACATAGGACTGATTAATCCCAGCTTTCCTATTAGCGGCACAGCAATTGAGCCAGCAAACCAGTAACGGGTGATGAACGGGATGTTTTTAAACCAGTCCCCGATATCTGACATCTTGCCATATGATTTAAGACCCTGTTGATTCTCTGTCGGTTCTCCGCCGATGCAAGTTTGGAAAAAGAGCAGGTGCAACAAACGAAACTGTGATCACAACGCAGAAATGCTGTTTCAGTCTTTTTCTTATTGGTTACCCTGGTGTACGCAACTCCTTTCCCGTTTAGTTTACATGACGTGGCCGCGCACAGACGTGTCCTTGTTACGAATTTCCGTTCAATTTGTGACTGTCAAATTAATAGTCACGCAAAGAAATATGGAGTTTTTACAAAGTCGAAAATGCTGATATTTGAAAATTTAACTTTTTGTCAGCGATATAGTTTTTTTGTAACAATCTCTGTCACAGTTATGTACAATTTTGTGCATATTTTAAGACTACGTTATGATTATTATATCGTTAGAAGTCTTTTATATTGACGTGTCATTCACGGCCTTTTGAAACCGGAAACGATTATTGGCGCTACTTTTGGTTAAAGCGAAAGGTTTTTGTATTATTTGTAAAAATGTCGCTGAGAGGTCATTTTAATGTGCCAAAATGCTTTACGACCACCTAGGTCAATAAGTTGCTAATACGTTTGATAGATAAGTTAGTTGACTAAAGAATAAAATATATAACGTTAATTATTTAACTCATCGTGTTGTGCTAAACCTGTAACGTCATGACTTTCTTTTTTCCTGATTTATTTTACGTGTAAAAAAATGTGAATAGTGATGATAACTAAAGCTGTCATTCTGTCCGTCATCGCGACATTTCTCGTGCACTATCGATTTTTAATGTTCCTTCCAGTGGGCTTTTGTCAAAGTAACGTTCGGTGAAAGTGAATGATAAAGCTGCACGTGTGTTTTGTGGGTTGAATTTGTGTTCATTTCTATTCCAGCAGCCCCATTCCTTCTAAAGATGTCTCTGAGCACAGTACAGTCCACCGTATCCACTCTGAAGTCATGTCAAACAGATATTGCAGCTTGTATGGACATGATATCAGACGTTGCGCTGGGAATAGTTGAAGCACAAGGTGAGCAGCCAATGTTTATCTACAATTAAACCGTTTTTTTTTTACATCAACACTCAACAACTAGCTAGCTATATATATATGTGCACACACACACACACACACACACACACACATATATATATATATATATATATATATATATATATATATATATATATATTATGTGCATTTTAATAATGTGCATATGTGCATATAATAATGTGCATTTTTAATTGAATTTCAGGTATGGATAACTTCAGCTCAAATAAGATTGGGAGTGTTCCAGACTGGACAGAGAAATCAATTGTTTGTGGACTCTGTTGATGAGATGACTGCCAGGTTTGTCTTGCTGTCTATTGACACAATCTTTGTCAAGTTCCCCACTGAGCCACCCTGGCTTTCTCTCATATGTTCTGCAGGTCACACAAGAACCTCCGGGGCCATGGTTAATCTAAGAAACTCTGTAAAGGGCCGTTTCACTGAATTAATGGCTGGAGTTTCAGACACAGACTTGCAAAGGGCACAGCAAGGTGGTTGCCTTCAAAGACAGTGTCAGGAAATATGCCATGCAAGGTGGGACACAACACTTCTTGCAGCATAGCATTCACAAACAATGTGTCATAAGTGATACCATTCCTTAATCTATATTTGTTCAAATGTGTTTATGAAGCAGGGTCAAACTCCAGATGAGAACGAAGAGGAGGAACTGGATGAGGATATTGCAGTTACACAGAGCCAGACAAACTTCATCTGTCCTCTCACCCAGGTAAACTTGATCAAGTGCATAAGATGTTATGGCTCTTGAGTTAAAAGTTCACATTTGTGGTAGTGTTTTTGTGTGTATTATTTCTATTGCATGAATAAACTTACAGAAATGTTATTTGACGTATCTTGTTCTGACAGGTTGAGATGGTCAATCCAATGAAAAACAAAATGCAATCATTACTATGACCAAGTGGCTGTACTTGAAATGATTAAGTGCAAGCACAAAAATAGGAAGACATTTCGGTATGTAGCCACTGCTCATTTCTCTGTCTGTACCTTCTTGTCCCAATTAAGTATAGTTAATTAATTTCCATATCCTGCCACCAGCCAGTGTCTATGTAAACTTATTTTTTTTTTTTTATATCTTTCTGGTATAACCTTTGAACAGTAGTGTATAAAACAGCCTGTTACCCACTTTTGTCATTTTCTTGACAGCTGTCCAAAGGTTGGCTGTGATAACAAAGATGTTCGTTCGGAGTCGGACCTCGAGTTGGACTTGGTTATGAAGAGAATGATCCAGAACCACAAGAGACAGAGCGGAAAAACTTAAGCGGACTAAATCAGTCGCAGATGTTACTTGTTCTGTTTAAAATGGTTTGCCTTAATTTAAATTTAGAACTGGAGGCTTTTTTATAAATATGGTTTGTGTTATAGTTAATGTGTAACATTTCAAACACATTGGAAGTTCATGTTTATAATTCAAATATAAATGCACTATGCTTACCAATGCTGACTTTTTTTTAAATAAACAAGAAATATTTGTTCCTTCTCAATTGTCTCACTGTCAAACCGCAGATTACCTATAAATGCAATCCTTAGTCAATGAGAGTGGGACTCTTTTCATCTGTCAATGAAAATAAAAACCTTTCTTTTCAAACCCAATTCACAACCAGACATTTATTCAACAATTGCGCTCTAAAATAATCCATTAGAATCAGGGCCAAAAGCCTGTTTATATACTCCACCATGTCACAAAGACATGAAATCAGCATGAGACATGAAAAACCACTGGGCATTAAACCAGCTTAAATTTTACAGGTTTATTATAGGAACTCTTTGACTGCCCCAAAAACCTTTAACTGTACAACTAACTAAAAATAATACAAACTTTGAAGTTTGAAAATCTGTCTATGTGGAAAATTCAGACACACATTGAGACATAAAAAGGACAGTCTGATTGGTTACGCCCAGTCAATATGAAACCAGCATCTGAATTTGCCCCCAAAGACCCTAACAGACATATACAGGAAAAGGATCACATGATCAAAAGTCTTAGATGGTTCTGTGTGACTAGTTATTTCTTGAGAATAAGGCCTGGTTTCACAGACAGGATTTAGATCACGCCAGGAGTAATCCATTGTTAAATTAGGACATTGAAATAGCTTTATAAATGTGCCTTAGAAAAAAATATATATTACTGATGTCTATCTTAAGACAAAACAAAGGCACTGACATTATTTTAAGATATGTCAGTGCCAGCTGCTTTCAGTTAAAACAGCTCAAACATGCATTTTAGTCTGGGACTAGGCTTAAGTCTCATCTGTTAAACCAGGCAAAAAGGGACACAGGCATCGATTTAACCCATCACTTAGTCTTAAACCAAGAGCTTCCCATGCATTGAATTTTCATAATTTTGACATCACAAACAGCATTTCATTGAATATATAATTGAACACTGAATCATTTTAATTCTAACAAGAAAAATGAGCACTCAAACCGTATGACCACATTTATTTAGACCAAAACAAATGGTTTGTGTTTATAGATCAAAAAATTGTCTTTTGCCCTTAAGAAAACAGTCTTTTGTAAAAGCCAAAAGAATTATTTTGTCTCAAAGGCAAAAAACATCTCCACATTAACTCACTGTATTTGAATGAAGTATATTTTGAATACGGATACGTACTTTCTTCCAAAACACCTTTAATGTTACATGCATTGTTCTTCCACATGATGTGCATTTGAAAACAAACCTTATGTCGTCAGTCGTCTGTTTATCAGATAACGGAACATTTATATTGATGAGAGCTCTGTTGGACAGTCCTGCGAGCTCTTTGTCCTGGTCCATCCTTGTGAAGGTTCAATGCACTAATATAGGGAGGGAGTCTCTGAGTTCGTTTCAGTGTTGGTCCATTTCCCATGTCTCTTTGCGCCAGTCCAAGCGTGGTGGAGGGTTGTATCTGTTGAGATTCTGAAATCGCCACAGTGGTTCTATCCGATGGTGATACCAAAGCCACACTGAAACTTGTTCTTACGATGGTTAAGGAAGGCGCCTAGAGCTAATGATAGAGGAAGGGGAAGCAGCTTCTTTTCCAGCGTCGCTCCCACCACCCAATTGCTATCTAAAGAACCTGAAGAACAAGGTTGAAGAGTATCGGTAAGCTTAACAGTAGAAAAAAACTGGAATATTCATGCAATAAGTAGGGCTGCATGATTTGGAGAAAAACAAAACAAAATTGTGATATAGCTTAATGAGATTTTCATAACACAAAGACTGCAATTTAATATAGACTATTATATTCACTAATTTGCTGTGATCTAATGGTACACAAAATCAGTAAAAACTCAGTCAATAGTAGGATTTGTAAAATTATGGGGAGTTTTCTCGTCCACCATGACACTCTGTGTGAGAAATACTGCAAGCAGAGTGATACATACGGTGAAACGGTTTTCCATGGTGATACTGGTAGAATATCGCTTGACCGGAAAAGGCTCTCAGCCAATCAGATCCGAGAACCAGAACTCAACTTTAGAAACAGCTCAGGAAAAGCCTTCCAATACCTTTAAACAGCAGATTTGCTTTGGGTACATCCAACTGATAACCAAACGACATGCTTGTGTCCTGCATCCGTGTGCTAGCCTCAAATTCCACCCCAACCTGGAGCTGTGGGAGGTTTTCAGATTCAAAGGAGTGAGTTTAACAGACAACAGGTCTTATATTGAGTAACAGATCTGACATTTAGTTCATTATATATGAAGTACCTGGTCATTGGCTTTGTGGTAGTATGACGCATGTGCACCAGCTCCTCCAACAGTCAACGTGGCGACATAGTTACTACCTGAGGATGAAAAGGTAGCAGATTCAATTAGTGCATTTAATAAAATTATGATTTTTGCCAGACATTGAATAAAATGTGATAAAGAATGATCTGGAAATGATTACCTGTGTACCTGCCCACTAATGATGTGACAGTGCCCTCCTCTCCTGGTCTCTTGTGATAGACCAGCTCGCCCCCCAATACCAAAGCAGGAGACAAGGACTGGAGGTAGTGCGCAACGATGATGCCTATCAGACGAAACATGAACGTGAGCTCCTACTAGGGCTGGCCGTTATGGCGAAATATATATTGTTAACATGAAAAGTCTATACTTAAAGATTTTTCCATGTCGTGCATATCTCGGTATGTAAATATATAGCACTATCAACACTTTAGAGAGAAGAAAGGGATGAAACGGAATATAAAGAATGTGACCCACACTGCACAAGTGTGTGCACCAAAAGCTCCCTTCTCTGCAGGCGATGGCAAATTTGGGGCGTACTTTGTGTTTAAAAAGTGTTAAGCAAAATAAGTGGTGAAAAAAAACACAACGCCGCTTCTGTCAGCATGCGATCGGGAGTTCTCTTTCACGTTTTATTGCACTTGAATGGTTGAATACATGCGCAATAGTCAAACTGCTCATTGTGTGGATTATTCATGTAAACACTGCCAGTTGTGTCTCAAGTGAAAGTAAAGGGATCGTCATTAAAGGGATAGTTCACCCAAAAATGTACATTTTGTAATCATTTACTCACCCTCATGTTGTTCCAAACTTGTATGAGTTTCTTTCTTCTGTTGAAAACAAAGAAAGATATTATAAAGAATGTTGGTAACCAGACAGTTGACAGTAGCCATTGACTTCCATTGTATTTTTTCCTACTATGGAAATCGATGACTACCTTCATCTGTTTGGTTCCCAACATTCTTCAAAATATCATCTTTTGTGTTCAACAGAAGAAAGAAACTCATACAAGTTTGGAACAACATGAGGGTGAGTAAGTGATGACAATTTTCATTTTTGGGTGAACTATCCCTTTAATGTGAAGCAAACAAAAGAGAAAATAACTTGCTGTTCTTGTTTTTAGGTTTAATAAAAATACATTTACATTTAATTCATACAATGAAGACTATGCAATATCTTATTTTTACATTATTAAATACATTTTTTATTTAATGTACATGTTAAATAATCCTATTACAATCACAGGGATAAGTTACATTAAAAAAATAATTGTAATAATAATATTTAACAATATTACAGTTTTTATATTTTGGATCAAATAAACGCAGTCAATGAGCATGAGAGACTTTTAAAAAAAGAAGTTCCTATATCTTTTAGACCCAAAAATGTTAGTGGTATTGGTTATTACGATTATA